TCGCCCCATCTGTGAAACGGAGATAATACTCCCCACTTTACAGGGCTCCTGTGAGGACTGAAGGGCGTGGCAGGAATTCCGGACCGGGGAGGGCAGGGCTGCCTGGCGACCCGCCACGCAGAAGCCAGTTCAGACACGAGCCTCACCTGCCTCCGCGGGGGGGCTGGGGCGGGCATCCCCTGCCCGAGGAGGACGCGGGCTCCAGTTCCCTGGTGGGCCCATCTCCCAGCCTGGCCACCCGAAGTGCCCGTGTTTCAGCTTCCGGAGCCAGCGGCTGTGAGAGAAGCCCTGGGGGAGGAGTAAGCAGAGGGCAGGGCAGTGAGGGGCAGGGGCTCCCGCCACCCTGCGCCCCCCCAGCCTGCACGGAGGGCCTGCTCACCTCGGAGGGGTGCCCGGAGGGACTGGGGAGCGCGAACTTGGTGTGCCCCCTGTGCAGGCCCTTCCCCTCGCACACAGCACACAGGTCGTAGTCTGGGCAGACGCCGCACTTGTAGCGGGTTCCCACCACAGGCCCGTTGCACCCATCGCAGATTACATTGGGGTGCACCATGTTGCGGGGTGCCTCCTGAGCATACAGGGGGCGGTGGTCCCGCCGGCACTCCTTCTTCTCTGCAGGGAGGGTGGAGAGAGCATCAGGGCACGGCCCTCTGGCGTCCTCCTCCTCCATCATCACTGCGGGACTGTCACAGTCAGCAAGGCGCCTGCCCCGCCCCCCGCACCCAGTCCACACGGACTTCAGCTGCTCAGATGACAGCAACAGCAACCAAGAGCCTGTGAGGAGGTTCCCAGTCCCAGCGCCGGCTAACCAGGCACCTGTGGCCCAGGCAGCAGAGAAGCAGCAGGGGGACAGGTGTGCACACCTTAGGCCTTGCTCCTACCAAGGTCCCCAAAGCTGCCCCAGCCCTATGGTGATCACGGATTCCTCTTTCTCAGGCCAGGTGCAGTATTTGTTACGCCCCTGTCTTACACAGCCCTCAGACTCCTGACCCCTTCTTTGGAAGAAATTAAAGTCCTATTTTTGCTCAGCCGGGAGCACCTGGTTTCACGCAGTGCCCCAGAGCAGCACTTACCTTTAATGTAGATTCGGAAGATGTCATCCTTCACGTAGGACATGGCCATTGTCAGCTCCTCATCACTGGAAAAGGCAACCAAGTCCCCATCCTCATCTAAGTTGTTTAAAAGATGACACGTATGAGACCAGGCGAGGTGGCTCACGCCTGTAACCCTATCGCTCTGGGAGGCAGAGGCAGGAGGGTTGCCTGAGCTCAGGAGTTCGAAACCAACCTGAGCAATAGTGAAACCCCCGTCTCTACTAAAAATAGAAAAATTAGCTGAGCACTGTCACACGTGCCTGAAGTCCCAGCTACTTGGGAGGTTGAGGCAAGAGGATCGCTTGAGCCCAGGAGTTTGAGGTTGCTGTGAGCTATGATGATACCACTGCACTCTACCCAGGGCGACAGAGTGAGATTCTGTTTCAAAAAAAAAAGGAAACCTGAACCCCCTTCCTTCCTCACTGCCCCCCTTCATATTAAAAAATAAATAAAAACAAAACACAACACATGAGCACCCAGGGACTCAGCTGGACACAAGCTGCTGAAATGGCCGAGGTCAGTACTAAAGGGCACCTGCGAGGCTGTAAACTGGAGCCCCCTGCCTGAGCTGAGAGGAAGCAGGGGCGAGAGGCGAGACTGCACCTGCGGCCTGGCACTGCTGGATGGCAGGTGCTCCATCCTGGGCCCTGGACCGCAGCTGCACGCAGGAGGCGGAGGGTGTGTACAGGGGCGGCAGCAACAGCCGGCTGCCTGCTGCCCGGCCTCTGGGCCAGCTGCCCCTTCAGAAAGGTGTCCCCTCAGTCCACATCTGACCAGGCCCAGATCCATCTTCAGCTGTGGGAGATCCCTGCCCAAGCCCTGCTCCCAAGGGGCCCAGCCCTCTTATAAGGCCTTGGACTTCTAGTGGTTTAGGAGTAAAAGGAGATAGATGAGCCCATCTGCCTGCTTCCTCCCCCAACAAAGCTAATAAAAAAGGTATGTAGTTTTTACATGTTAGCTCAAATGGTTTTAAAGCACCGCCATGCAGGCCAAACTGCACCCCACAGCTGCAGGCTGGACAGGCCTGTGGGCCACCAGAGGCAACATCTATCACAAAGAACAGGAGGGGCACCAAGAGGGGGAAACAACCCAAATGCCTCTCAAGTAATGACCAAATAATCAAACTGTGGCCTGTCCGTACAACGGAACGTTATTCGGCCACAAAAACAAATGAAGTACCGATACGTGCTATGACCCAGGTGAGCCTCGAGCACGTTATGCCCAGTGAAAGAGACCCCTTGTGAGACTACAGTGTATGACTGCATCTGCATGAAACGTCCCGCCAGGAAAAGGAACAGACACAGAACGCAGATCAGTGGTTGCCAGGGGGATGGGAGGATGGCGAGATGACAGATAAAGGATGTGGGGATTATAAAGTGAAGAAAAGCTTCTAAAATTGTCACGATGGTCTACAAACCTATCACTATGCAAAAAAACCACTGAACTGTTCACTTCAAATGGGTGAATTGTATGGTACGTGACTTATAGCTCAATAAAGTTGTCACAAAACTCCTCTTTTTGAAGAACAGGAGCGGCAGGCAGGCTGGCAGCACTCCAGAGGGAGGTCCCACTCCTGCCCCCTCCCAGGGGCCGGCCATGGCCGCCGGCCTCCCTCCCTGTGCCTCCCTCCCTGCCACCACAACCTCCAACCCCACCCCCAGGAGCCACTGGTCACACCAGTGCAGCAGGACACGCAACTAGCTCCTGGGCTTCTGTCCCCACCCCAGCACCTCTGAGGAACGTTCCGATCCTGTGGCTGCGCGGCCAGGGCGACGACGTCTGCACCGAGCCTGGCCTCCCGGCGCCCAGGGCCCCACCTCCCGCGCGTCCCGGCTCCCGGGCCGGGCCACAGCGCCCCGCGCTGGCGTACCCGCGCCGTTCCCTGTCCCCTGCCAGCCCTTCCTCCCGGCTGCCCTGCCCGGCTCTTCGGGGGCCTTATCTGAACCCGCCGCCTGGCGCAGCAACGTCCGGTGTAACCCGAGTGCCCGCCTGACCGCTCCGTCCCCGCGGGGAGCCTAGAGGACGCACTGGCGCGTCCTCGCCAAGCCCTGCGCCCTCGGGGACGGGGAGGAGCGGCATCTCACGCCCCCAGGCCTGACCGCCCCAGGCACCAGAGGGACGGCGCCGAGCAGCGAGAACAGGGTCGGGACCGGGCCTCGGTCTCCGAGGTCACCAGGCTGGTACCGAGGCCGAACTGGGGCCCACGCCGGCCACCGCCCGCCTCGTGGGAAGCCAGAGCAGTCCCCACTCACGGTCCGCCCCCCATCGCGAGAAGGAAGCGGGCGACCCTCCCCGCCCCGCAGGCCCCGCCGCCGGCGGCCCGGCCCGGCCTGCGTCACCGCCCGCCGGCCGCTCACCGCGGTAGTGGGCCTGGAAGCCGCCGGGCCGCAGCCCGGGGAACAGACCGGCCACCCGACTCAGCAGCCGCTCGCAGGGCCCGGGCCCAGCCGCGGCCTCGGCTTCCGCCTCAGGCTCGGGGCTGAAGCAGAAGCTGAAGCGGCGGATCTCGCGCGCCGCGTCCTCCTTGCCCAGAAGGTAGGCCTTCACGGTAAGCGACGCCATGGCCCCCGCCCGAGCACCAGCCGCGCAGCACCCCCGCCGCCGCCGCACGCGCCTTTTATAGAGGACGCGGAAGCCCCGCCCCGCCCGGCCTCCCGAGGGCGTGGCCTGCCCGCGCCCGTCCCCGCCCTCGCCGCCGCGCGCGAGCCTCCCTGGCGGGGCCCCGCGCCCGCTCCCCCTGCCCGCTGCCGCCCCCCTGGGTGCCCCCGGGACCCTCACTCACTGCGGACCCCTCTCTTCACTACCCCCGGTACACTGGGGACCCCAAGAGGCCGGCCTCGGCACCTATCCGGGCCCGGGCTCCGGCCTCCGCCCTGAGGGAAGGTGATGGGCGGGGGTCCCACCCCACGCCCCTCCCAGACCGGGGCCTGGCCGTGACTCAGCAGTAGTCGCCAGGCCGCCGTGACTCAGCGTTATAGTCCCCAGGCTGCGGGGGACGCCCAGTGGAGGGGGACACGGAGAGGCCTGATACCGTCCGGTGGGCACCGCTTTCCAGAACGCGCGGGCTCCCAGGGGGCTGTCCCGCCCTGCCATGGCGGCCTCCCAGGTGGCAGCCTGGTCCATTGTCCATAGCATCTCCATGATGGGCCCTGCCGGGTTGAGGGGCAGACCTTGAGTCTGGCCCGAGCGCCACAGGAGCTCCCCGTCTAACAGGGGTGCAGGTGAGAGGCGCCGGCAGAGCGCAGGGGCAGAGGCTGCGGAGCGCCCCGTCCCCACGCCGCCGCCGAGGAGCCAGCCGAGCCTTTCTGCAGCGCAGTAGCCACCGAGTGTTCCCTGCAGCCCAAGAGACTCCTGGGTGCGAGACACCGCCTGTCGGCACGGGGTTCAGCTCAGCAGGGGTTCAGCTCAGCAGGGGTTCAGCTCAGCAGGTGGTGGCCAAGGCCCGGGGCTCAGGCCTGTCGGCCCCACAGGAAGCCAGGGGGTCACACCAAATCCCTCCAGCTAGGAATCAAGATACACTGCTACTGTGTGACCAAAGTGGCCTGTTCTCAAGGCCTGCGCGAGAAGTTGGTCAGGAAGGGCATGTCGCCCTGTGGAGCCTCCCAGGCAGGGTCCCGTGGGTAGGAGGTGCGACCACCTGCCTCACACTGTTGTCCTTTCAGGGTGGCCTGGTGGGAGGAGGATCTCCAGGGTGGGGACCCAGAGACCACGGGCGCGTTGGGTGGCTTGTGGCTGGTCGGCCTAGCCAGGTGCGAGGGGGGTTTGCCTGTGGGGCACAGCAGGGGCTTAGCACAGGTGTGACCGAGCCTTCCCACAGGGCTTCCCGGAGTGGGCAAGGCCGGTAAAGAGTACGGTATGGTCCCCCCTCAGGACAGTCCCTGCATCCAGCTGTGAGCCTGCGGGACCCACTCCCCTGTAGGCAGGCCCGTGGTGCCAGGGATGGGGCCTGCGGGCCAAAGGCCTGCGGACAGGTGCTGGAGCGGTGACTCAGCAGCCCTGCGGGAAGGCCCCCGCCCCCAAACTAGCGGCTGCCACTAGGAACGCCTTTGCTTTCTCACCGTTTGGCCCTTTCAGACCGTGGTGGGTTTCGGGGAGGGGGCAGAGACTCCGGCAGAAAAGAAGCCGGGGCGCTGGGGAGACCCCAGGCCGGGCCCTTCCCGGCATGCCCCGCGGCCGTGCCGCCCTGCCCCCACCCCACCGAGGCGGCAAGAGGTAAACAAGGCCGTGGCGGGGAACCCCCTGGTAGGGCCCTCTCCTCGCGGTCAGGTGGTCTGGCCGGCAGTGAGTCAGCGTCCCATGACTGCTGTCACAACACGGGGATCCCCGGCCCTCTGCGCCACCATCTCAGGGCGCTCTCGGCGGCGGGGGCGGGGAGCGGACCGGGGCCTGCACGAAAACGGCCTGCAGGGGCCAGGGCCCCTCTTCTGAGGCCTGCCGCCCTTCCGCTTCCGGGGTCGCAGGGAGCCCCCGGCCTCCCGGCGTCCACCGGCCGGTTCCCATCCTCCAGAGCCGGCGCGACACAGGCAGAGCCTGACACGGAAGTCAGGAGACGGCCGTCGACCACTTGCCGTCTTTGCGCACGTGGCCAGCCTGTGTCCTCGTCACTGCCGTGGGACTCGAGTTGCCCTTTCCAGTGGGCCCCGTAGCTGTGCTGGGTGTTCAGCGGCCCAGATTTGGGGCTGCATTTGGGGGCATCAGGGAGGAGACTGCGGAGGGGCTGCGGGGACAGAGTAGGGAGGCAGCAGAGACCTGAGCCCAGTGGGTCTGGGAGACAAGCAGGGGGGGGCGCAATGTCTGATTCTGTTTTTTGCCACCTGGTGCGTTGTAGCCACTTCCTCCGTTTTCCCCTTCCCGTTTCCTAAATAAGCCGTCCCTCAGCAATGGTTTTCCAAAGTTCATTTTCTCTGGGGTGTGGAGTCAAGTGTCCCCGTGCGTCCTCGGGCATCCAGAGGCAAGGCCGCCGTGAGATTCAGACAGCTTTTCTGGGCAATCCCTTAGGAGATTGAGGCCCACAGGGGACAAAGGCCCTCCAGGCCCTCAGGGCAGCCACGCCCTTCCACCCGCTCACAGGGACACACCCCTGCTCTGCGCCTAATCGCGCCAACTCCTTCCACCTGGGGACTTTCCCCAGGCTCTTCCTCTGCTCTGAAACCCTTTCCCCTCCTGCATCGTCCCACCCTAAATGTCACCTCCTCAGTGGGGCCTTCCCTGACCTTCCCTCTTGGAAAACGCCCTAAGCACTGCACATCACCTCGTTTTAGCCCTTTCCCGCTGAAGCCCTCAGCCCACAAAAGGTTTGGAAACAGCTTTCCAAAGGCAAAGGCGCTTGAGGCATAGAGAGACGTGGTCACAGAATTCAGTGATGCCAAGGTGTTGGGGAGTGGGGCACCAGAAACCCTCTGGCGCGGCTGCTGGAGGCCAGAGCAGCGGTTCTGGGGTTTGGCTGCCCGCGCTGGGGGCATTTCTCCAAATAAAGCCTCACAGGCTGGGCGCAGCGGGTCACGCCTGTAATCCCAGCACTCTGGGAGGCCGAGGCGGGCAGATTGTTTGAGCTCAGGAGTTCGAGACCAGCCTGAGCAACAGCGAGACCCCCGTCTCTACTAAAAATAGAAAGAAATTAATCGGACAACTAACAATATATAGAAAAAATTAGCCCGGCACGGTGGCGCATACCTGTAGTCCCAGCTACTCAGGAGGCTGAGGCAGGAGGATCGCTTGAGCCCAGGAGTCTGAGGTTGCTGTGAGCTATGACGCCACGGCACTCACTCTAGCCCGGGCAACACAGTGAGACTGTCTCAAAAAAATAAAAATAAATAAATAAATAAATAAATCCTCACACTCCCCACCATGGGGACGGGCAAGACCCCTGACCCCTACAGGCTCACTGAGGGGGCTCCCGACAATGCCTGGCAACGTGCAGGGGCCGTAGAGAGCGCTCTCCCACCAACGCCAAGTGAAGAGGCCTGCCGCTGGGCCATGTCGGCAAGTACTTGTCAGGGAGCTCAGCGCCGGGGATCGGCAGAAACTCTCACGTCTGATGGGACAGTGCCAGGGAGGCCTCTCCAGCGGGCTCAGGCCAAGGGCCGGGTGGCGGTCAATGGAATGGGGCCCGGGCCCTCGGGGCAGGCTGGGCTGAGCACGTCTGCGGGCCAGGCCTGTCCACGGCAGGCACTGGGCGGGACTCTTCGTACCACCGAGAAGGCCAACAGGCGCTTCACTCTCCCCGAAGCGCCCAGAGAGCCCACCTGGCGCTACTCTTCAGACCCATCGGAAGTGGTCCAGGCCACTGCTCCGCACGTCCCCTAAGGCTGTTCATGGAGTGGGACCTGTCCCTGCCTTGTTGTCTGGGACGCCCTGCAGCTGCAGGGAGGGGACTCTGAAGAGGGTCCAGATCTGATGGCCTTGCCTATTACCAGCCTTTCCCTTCCTTCACCACCCGGTGGCCAGAGACCTAGCCCCACAAGCAGAGGGCCAGCCTGACTGCAGAAGGTCTGGAAAGACAAAGGAGGAGCCGGGAGGAGTGGGAAGGAGGGCCTTGAGGACACCACGCCGTGATCCATGCAGAAAAGCAGTTCAAGAGGCGGGGAAGACCAGGTGTGGG